CGGTTGGGCTCCCACCCCCTTCCTTATTACATTCCTCGCGGTGCCCCGCCACAGGCGATGATGACTCGGCCCCGCCTCGCCCCGCCCCGCCCGGCGACGACCTGCTCCGGAGGGGCAGAACGCCCAGCATTCCGGACATTCTGGCGGATATTTCCGGGTTGAATGAGGGTTGTGGGGGAATGGATGGATAGGGTGTCCTCTCCCCGCCCGCAATACCGCCGCGCTCGGGCTGCCTCTGTGAGGGTGGGGTGGACGTGAACGGGGACGGGGAAGTCCAAAAGGCCGGCTGAAGCAGAAGGAGAACAAACGAGATGGAGTCGGAAATTTTCAGGCCGTTTTTGCAGAGCAATCAGGTGCGCAAAACGTCATAGCAAGTCCCGCAAGTCCTCATATAGAGCGCTGAGGTTCTTCACACCTTCTGTTTGTCTTCTCCTTCCGCTGCAACACACCTGTTCCTCTGCCAATACTGGACGAAAGTTGGCAATGGTTTATTTATTTGTTCCATTTTTTGCCGGTGTTGCTCTACTTGTTTTGGGTGAGTGAGATGCGATGCAGCTGGCAGCCGGGTGGGGCGGGCGGCCTTGAGCAGTACGCTGCCCCTCCACCAACACCAAATAACGTCCGTGTCTCCGCCACCATCACGTCGACCATCACCACGAGAGGGGACGGGAGCCTGAATAACATGAACGCAGCGCTACCGAGGCAGGGCGCGGCACGAGACCCCGTCCTATTGGTAGTAGTAGCAGCGCGGCCAGATTAGGTAGTCAAGGGGTGAAACTAGAAAATGAACAGAGAGCGAAGATAGGGACGGGTGGACAGAGAGAAATGGAGGAGGGACGGGAATGAGCGTGGCAATGAGAGCTGTGTATATACCTACCCTTCCTTCCCTCGGCCCCACTCCGCCCCCCTGTCCCTAACAGTCCCGTGATGAGTTTGGCCGGATAGCGCCGCCAGGCCAGGCACGCCAGACCACCACCGCCCCGCCGTCCGGCCAAGGGCAAGGCCTGTGCCTGCGTGCGGCAGCGGCAGCGCGGCTCCAGCCAAGGCCGACGGCGGCCGAGTAACGGACCCCCTCCGCCCCGCAATCAAAGGGGGGCAGTGGTGGAGATGAGCCGATGCGACTGCAGTGCGGCCAACGGCGGCCAACGGCGGCCAACGGCGGCCAACGGCGGCCAACGGCGGCCAACGGCGGCCAACGGCGAGAAGAAATCCCCCCGGGGTGGCGCCCGCCGCGACAGGCAGGCGCCACCTCAGGCGCCACCCCGCTCAACGCCGTCATTGTCGACGAGGCTTCCCCGACCTCCCCGACCACACGCCCCACGACTCGGGCCTCGCGGGGATCGGGCCTCTCCGCGGGCTCCGCGGGCTCCGCGGGCGGGCGCGTCGAATGCTCTCGAGCGCGGCAGGGGCTGCGGGCGCGGGGGCCGCGCTGGGAGAAGAGGAGAGCGGGAGCGCCCCTCCGCACGTATTCTTGTCGGCAAATTGGTTTGTGCGACGAGACGTTCGCACTGCCCCGGCGTGGAGGTGTGAGCGAGCCTCCGGG